AGCCTTGTTCTAAGTATTAAGGCCCCTATATAATTGGGGTTGGGGGCTTCAGGACCTTTGAGTTTTTCCTCTCCTTCAGATTCAGAAAAGAAGAGCGTCGGGTGGCGGTAGAACTCCATGATTAGTGGTGGTATAGTACTCGTAGTAGTCGTACTAATAGTACTAGTAGTACTAGTAGTACTAGTAGTAGCAGTAGTAGTAGTAGTAGTAGTAGTAGTAGTAGTAGTGGTAGTGGTAGTGGTAGTGGTGGTAGTAGCAGCCCCTCAACCCTAAACCCTGATCTGGTCACCTGGTAGAGCACCATACCAGCAACATCTGCATCCCAAAAGCTTCTTTTGCAACATGACGGGGTCGTTACAGCGCGGCACGGCGAACCCAAAAGACTCCAAGAGATGAGGTATAAGTTTATTCATATTCGTAGCTTCAGCCGACGAAAGCTCTGCGCAGTACCCTTCCAAAAGGTGCTTCTAAAGCCTAACCTTGACATGGATGGTTAACGCCACGATCCAGGTCTGCGTTATCTTCAGCTCTGCCTGGCTTCTCGGTCCTGAATTTATAGTTTTCCAGCCTTCTGACGAAGACATCTGACATTCTGTGTTGTTGTTTGCTTGCCTGCTTGTTTCAGACATTGACGACCTCCTGCGTTTGGATTTAGTAGGTTTTTGTGTGGAGGTACATTCCCGGCTGTGTCCTCATCTTCTCCGCCAAACTCGGTGTCGCTTTCTCCACCGGATCCACACGCATCATCCTCCTCGACCTCCGACTCCGAATCATCATCGTTTCCGGTGCTCTTCAGCTTCGAGACCATGTCCTGCAAACCCTGCAGCCCATCTGTCGCAGCCAGTACAAGACGGAAGCGTGATGAGTACATAAGGCCTCAGTGTGCTTTAGGGCATATCAATTAGACGTTTGTCAAGAGACCCGAAGCACTCCAGTCATTTTAAGAACCTCACACAAAACCCCAAGCAACGTCGTGAATGCTGACGTCTGGTGGGAGGTTTCTGCGACAGTCCGAAGCCTACACTGGTTCAAGAGGGGATTGACCCCTAGTAGAAGTATACACCGTTTCAAGAGGGGGTTTGATCCTAATAATAAGTATGCTATACTACTATGCCCTCAAAAGCCTTATTCTAATCACCCAGGCCCCTATATTTGGGATTTTGGGCTTAGGATTGTGATGGGTATATAGTGTGGTGTTATGAAGGTGGTGGGCATGACTATTGTTGTAGCCGTTCCTGTCCTGTGGTTCATGACCAGTGTGCCTTGAACGTTTTTGAAACAAGCCCTGTGGCCGTCAGTATGATAAAGCTTCTCGTTATTCGGTGTTTTATACGATTATTGTTCTGGTTACTGTATAGCCTTGATTCTCGCTTCGCGGTTCTGATTGTTGAAGATAGTATGCTTCTTCTGATCACTTGCGCTGTTCACAATGTATGATTCGATGGACATGTTGGGCCTTTTTGTTCTCACCAGTCCTGGGCTGTTTTGGGCGGCCAGACAGGGGTTTTTTTTTGGCCGAGGATGAAGTACACCGGGTGGCCAGCCATGGGCTCTGGCTGGATAGTGCTTCCACCCAGTAACAGCTGAATACAATGTATAAAGTAGGTATCTAAGGCCCTTCATAGTGCCCTTCTTGTGGACGGTTACTGTTTGGGGGGGGGCTTGATTGCCTCAAGTTGTGAAAGCCGATGGGTAAATTGATGCTCTTCGCGTAGACCCTACATGGTAGCTCAGTTATCATAGAGGAAGGAACGGGAATTGCAGGAAGCCTCTGCATATCAACTGCTTCCCAGCGGTTTCGGATGTTCTGCAGCATGGGAGGGTGCTTGCACGAAGGCATGTGCATGCACCTCTGGCGGCTAGCGAGAGGGGGGTGTAGAGGCATCACGCGGGAGGAAGGACGGGCCTCCCTGTGGTATCATGTCGTTCGGTTCGCCACAGCACGAAGGCTTCCTCCCAAAATCTCGGCCATCCGAAATTAAGACCAAAAGCCTGACCCCTATAAACCGTAGTGTATATGTGTATATATATATATATAATATCTGCCTCTTTCTCTACACACAGAGGTGTATGTATATATATATATATAGAGAGAGAGATATGTCTGGGTCTAAGCCCCGAACCATGCAGCAGCTCCATGTTAGAGTGCCGAGACCTTCGCCATCGGCAACGCGGAAGCCGTCCGCCCGCTGCTGCAGACGAGCGAGCGGCAGCGCGAAAGGCTCTTGGACAAGGCCCAGCCACCCGAAAAGATGGAGGAAGTCTTAATTTAGTATAGGGGCCTAGATAATTAGAATAGGGTTTTGGGGCCCATTATATGATACTTCTTATAAGGAATTCTCAAAATAATATTATATATATATATAGGTAATTATTTAAGTTCCTACATTACCTGAAACACGTCATGCCTTAGTTCTCGTGTAGCGTAAGGCTTGCACCCCAGCCCGACACCTCTGAACCCCTAAAGCCTCAAAGCTGTAAAAACCCTACACCTCTCAAGCCTAATGTAGGGAGGGGCCTAAATAATTACCTATGCCATTTTCGGGGTTCCTTAAGTCGCTTATAGTATAATGGGCCACAAAACCCTATTCCGATTATTTATAAGGCCCCTGCATTAATGAACCGTAATTCCGAAACCACAACCCCATACCACAAAACCCGAAACCTCTAATTCCGAAAAACGCTGAACCCTAAAACCTGAACCCTATAAACCCTGAACGCTGAACCCTAAACCCTAAAACTTGAACCCTAAACCCCGAACCCTACGCCCGAAACCCTACCCATAGGCCCCATAGTAGTTCCTTTTTGGCATTACCTTATAGGGTTCTAAATATGAACCCCCCAAAAGGAACTACTATGGGGCCTATGGCTAAACCCACAAAGCCCTAAACCCTAAACCCTAAACCCTGAACCCTAAACCCTAAACAGTACGTCTTGGCAGAAGCTGACGCGCTTGTCCGAGACCTTTGAAGATTTCCTGGCCACCCTCGAGCAGCCGGGCCTGAGTATTTTAGGGGTTTAGGGTTTAGGGTTCAGGGTTTCAGGGTTTAGGGTTTAGGGTTTTGGGTTGTGTTTAGGGTTCAGGGTTTAGGGTTCAGGGTTAGTCTATTGCCCTAAGGGTCCAAGTGCCCAAGTAGTAGGGTTTCAAGGTCCGAAAACCAATGGGAGCATGGGTTTTGGGACCCAGCGCCTTACTATTTGGGTACTCGGACCCTCTGGGTTTTGGGGATGTAGAACCAGGGGGTTTGTCGACGCATCAGGGATTGAGGATTTCTCCACGCTCAAGGGGGCCATAATCTAAGTATACGCGTTCCGGAAGGGTTCGATAGGGCTCGATGATAAACCCTGAACCCTGAGCCCCTAAACCGTAAGCCATTATAATCCATAGAAGACCCTAAAAGTGATCTGTTCTTATCTGCGGCCAGGAGGATTAGAGGCTTGTCAGGCGTCGCAGACGAGAAAAAGGCCTGCAGATGGTGTTAACACGGTATAAGTGTTCCGTTCGGGTTTCATACGGGTTCTAGTCTGGTTTGAGGACTCAGGGCTCAGAGTCTAGGGTTTGGGGTCCGGGCGTAGAGTTTCCGGGCCTGGTCCCCTGGGTGCCGTGACCCTGCTTGGGTCCTTGTTGGGGGAGATCTTCGAATTCCAGGAACGGCCAGCCCGATATTTTCTACAATCTCTGTAGCGTGGGGCGAGTGGGAAACCCACAGTGTCACAGAGCGCCCAGCACTCTTCGATTTAGCCCTTTGCATCCTTTGCCGTCATGTTAAAGTTAGCGGTCTGTCTACGCTTGGAGAAGAATTTCTGTTTTAATTGGTATAGGGCTCTCTTTCAACGACGAAGGGCTAGTCATGTGAGCACATCGCAGCGCATGGTCCTTGAACTCCGGTCTCACGATGCAGGTTCAGGAGTGAGACCCATGGGAGCTGTGATGGCACCTAGTCTCATGACAGCTCGGCATCGTGTGGGTTGATGTTGAAATCGATGGAATGACTAGAGCAGCTTAAACCATTCAACCGCTCAAGCCTAAACCAAGCCCCAAAATCTTAGGATAACGCAAGCTTCTCAACCTGGGCCGCATGTAAGTGCGCCTCCAAAGCCGCACATCACCGGCAGCAGTTCCTTAAGCCCGCTTGCAACCCTTATCAACACCGTTGCGACAGAGGCAGATCAGAGAGACGAACGACTGCGCCGGAGATGTCAGTCGGCTGTGCGTGCATTGGGCCATCGATCGAGGCGGGGCAAAAGCGGCAAAAGCGCATCTTTAGGCTTCCTGATGCCCTGCAAGGACGGATAAGTGCATAGACAAGTCAGAATATGAATAAGCCGAGACAGAGATAGAAAAAGAACGGGAAGCCTCTATATATATATATATATAACAAGTAGATAGAACAAATCATAGGAAAATGCATACAAACGTGCCTGCTTATATATATATATACACATACAGACATACACACACCTACCAGCACGTAGGCATATAGACAGATAAACATACTGTAATATGAGCATACACACATACACACACATATTTGCATACATATATGCATACATGCATGCATACATGCATGCATTCCTGCATACCTACATGTACACATTTACACATGTGCACATAAGCCATGTATCTACCTACATCGAACTTATACTCCTACATACATCTACATATATGTACATGTGCAAATACATACATACACACATATCTACGCACACACACACACACATACAAGTACATATGTTATGTGGGCACAAGTACGTCTACGTATACATATACACATCTATGTACATACTCATACCCATATACATATACATATGTATATGCATGTACATGAATATCCATGTACATATATGTTTTGCGTGTACAGGTGGGCGCATGTATGTATGTACACACGTAGGTATGTATGTACGTATGTACGTATGGATGCACACATACATGCATGTTTGTACGCATGTATGCATGCATGC